AGGTCAGCAACTACATTGTCTGGGTTGTCCAGGATATCCAAATCTTTCTGATATAATTCCTCTGTGTATTCTTGCCACCTCTTCTTGATGTCTTCTGCTTCTGTGAGGTGCCTTCCATTTTTGTCCTTTATCATGTCCATCTTTGCGCGAAATGTTCCTCTAATATCTCCAATTTTCCTGAACAGATCTCTGGTTTTTCCTTTTCTGTTATTTCCCTCTATTTCTTTGCATTGTTCATTTAAGAAGGCCCTCTTGTCTCTCCTTGCTATTCTTTGGAAGTCTGCATTCAACTTTCTGTAACTTTCCCTATCTCCCTTGCATTTTGCTTCCCTTCTCCTCTCTGCTATTTCTAAGGCCTCGTTGGACAGCCATTTTGCTTTCTTGCATTTCCTTTTCTTGGGGATGGTTTTCGTTGCTGCCTCCTGGAAAATGTTACGAGCCTCTATCCAAAGTTCTTCAGGCACTCTGTCCACCAAATCGAGTTCCTTAAATCTGTTCTTTACTTCCACTGTGTATTCATAAGGGATTTGGTTTAGATTATACCTGAGTGGCCCAGTGGTTTTTCCTAATCTCTTCAGTCTAAGCTTGAATTTTGCTATGAGAAGCTGATGATCAGAATTCCCTAGGGTGTCTTAATATCCAATATAGTACACTTTTTTGTGCTTTTGCAAAATAGCAGAATGTATCAACTTTGATTCTAAGGTATAGTTGCTATTCTAGTACCTAGCAGGATTTGGACAAAACATGTTTTCGGGAATTATATGTAACTATAGTCATGCCGCGTATGTTTCAGTTGGAAAACATATTTAGGAAGAGTCAGTCTAGAGCAGAGAAGAGGCAGGAGCATACCATGTCTCCCCGAAAATAAGACAGGGTCCAATATTAATTTTTGCTTTTAAAAAGAACACATTAGAGCTTATTTTCACGGGATATTTTATTTTACAGTCATGTTATCTTCTTCTGGTTGCTGCACAGTGCTGCACAATAGTGGAGAGCAGGATTTAACTTTAGGCTTATTTTGGGAGTAGGGCTTATTTTACGAGCATCCTGAAAAATCACTTTGTTGTTGTTTAGTTGTTAAGTCGTGACCAACTCTTTGTGACCCATGGACCAGAGCATGCCAGGCCCTCCTGTCTTCTACTGCCTCCTGGAGTTGGGTCAAATTCATGTTGGTAGCTTTGATGACACTGTCCAACCATCTCATCTTCTGTCGTCCCCTTCTCCTCTTGCTCTCACACTTTCCCAACATTAGGGTCTTTTCCATTGAGTCTTCTCTTCTCATGAGATGGCCAAAGTATTGGAATCTCACCAGGATCTGTCCTTCCAGTGAGCACTCAGGGTTGATTTCCTTTAGAACTGATAGGTTTGTTCTCCTTGCAGTCCAGAGGACATTTAAGAGTTTCCTCCAGCACCACAACTGAAAAGCATCAATTCTTTGGCGGTCAGCCTTCTTTATGGTCCAGCTCTCACTTCCATACATCGCTACTGGAAAAACCATAGCTTTGACTATGCGGATCTTTGTCGGCAAGGTGATGTCTCTGTTTTTTAAGATGCTGTCAAGGTTTGTCATCGCTTTCCTCCCAAGAAGCAGGTGTCTTTTAATTTCATGGCTGCTGTCCCCATCTGCAGTGATCATGGAGCCCAAGAAAGTAAAATCTTTCACTGCCTCCATATCTTCCCCTTCTATTTGCCAGGACGTGATGGGACCAGTGGCCATGATCTTAGTTTTTTTGATGTTGAGTTTCAGACTGTTTTTTGCACTCTCCTCTTTCACCCTCATTACGAGGTTCTTTATTTCCTCCTCACTTTCTGCCATCACAGTGGTATCATCTGCATATCGGAGGTTGTTGATATTTCTTCCGGCAATCTTAATTCTGGTTTGGGATTCATCCAGTCCAGCCCTTCACATGATGTATTCTGCATATAAGTTAAATAAGCAGGGAGACAATATACAGCCTTGTCGTACTCCTTTCCCAATTTTGAACCAATCAGTTATTCCATATCCAGTTCTAACTCTTGCTTCCTGTCCCACATATAGATTTCTCGGGAGATAGATAAGGTGGTCAGACATTCCTATTAAGAACTTGCTATAGTTTGTTGTGGTCCACATAGTCAAAGGCTTTTGCATAGTCAATGAAGCAGAAGTCAATGAAGCAGAAGAACAATTTTGGTGGCATTTAATGGGGATCAAACAAATCCACTGAGCTTAACACTGTAAATGACTACCAGTCATGATGGTTTTATATTACTTCTTGTATACTGGAAGCAGTATGTCTTTGAATATTTATTTATTTATGTTTGTTTGTTTCTTTGTTGAACTTATATCTTGCCCATTTAGTGGCAAGCCATTACTCTGACTGGCTTACAAAGGAACATATAATACAACATTGAGCACAAAATAATGCATAAAAATACAAATAACAACATGAAATTACCAAAACAAACATAAGCATAAATTAGTATCACATAACAACACTCCCCCCCCCCCCCC